AAGGTACCCTCCTTGATCTGCTGCTTGTCAACAGAGTGGATCACACAGCCTCTTGAACTCTGTCAGGATTGGTGCCGTGACCACTTCCCTTGGGAGCCTGTTCCAGTGCCCAACCACCCTCTGGGTAAAGAACCGCTTTCTAATATCTAACCTAAACTTCCTTTGACACAACTTCAGGCCATTCCCTTGGGTCCTCTCACTGGTAACCACGGAGAAGAGATCAGTGTCTGCCCCTCCTCTTCCCCTCATGAGAAAGTTGTAGACTGCGATCAGGTCTCCCCTCAGTCTCCTTTTCACCAGGTTGAACAGACCAAGTGACCTCAGCTACTCCTCATACTGCTTCCCCTCAAGGCCTTTCACCATCTTTGTTGCCCTCCTTTGGACACTCTCTAGTAACTTAATATCTTTCTTATATTCCAGTGACCAAAACTGCACACAATAGTGAAGGTGAGGCCACACCAGGGTAGAGTAGAGTGGGACAATCCCCTCCCTTGACAGGTTGGTGATACTTTGCCTGATGCACCCCAGGACATGGTTGGCCCTTCTGGCTGCCAGGGCACACTGCTGACTCTTATTCCACTTTCTGTCAACCAGGACCCCCAGGTCCCTTTCTGCAGCACTGCTTTCCAGCATCTAATTCCCCAGTCTGTACATACATCCTGGATTGCCCCATCCCAGGTGCAGAATACAGCAAAAACCTGGATGACAACTTTTTGGAACAGATCCTAAGGAAGCCGACAACAAAAGATGCCCTACTTGTCAACCGAACGGATCTCCTAAGCAAAGTGGAGATTGGTGGCTGTCTTGACTACAGTGATCATGAAGTAATAGAATTTAAAATCTCTGTTGACAGGAGGAAAAGTGCCAGCAAAGCCTCAGCTCTGGACATGAGGAGAGCAGACTTCAGGTTGCTCAGAGAACTAGTAAGTAAAGTCACCTGGGAAAATGTTTTTGCAGGTGTCGGAGTCCATCAGTGCTGGTCACTTTTTAAACATCACCTCCTAAGGGCACATGAGCAGGCAATTACAAATGTCGGAAGTCCAGCAGGCAAGGCAGAAACCCGGCATGGCTGAGCAGAGATCTGCTCTTGGAAATAAGGCAAAAAAGGCAGGCATATGCCCAGTAGAAGCAAGGTCAAGTGACATGGGAAGAATACAGAGATGGTGCTTGCTGCTGTAGGGAGAAAATTCTTTTGTCCAAAGTTCAGTTGGAGTTGAAGCTGGCCAGAAATGTGGGGGACAATAAAAAGAGTTTTTTCAAATATATTAATGGCAGAAGGCAGTGTAGAAATAACATTGGTTTGTTACAGGATGAGGATGGTCACCTCACAAACAGGGACAGAGATAAGGCAGAGCTGTTTAATGCCTTCTTTGCCTCTGTATTCAACATGGATGATGGACCATGGGGGTCTCAGTGCTCTGAGCTGGAGGACCATGACTGAGAGAATGATCAACTCTCAGTTGACCCTGAAGTTGTGCAGGATCTACTGTTCTATCTGGATCCCTACAAATCTATGAGGTTTGATGAGATTCATCCAAGGATCCTCAAAGAGCATGCTGATGTCATCTCAAAACCTCTCTCAATGATTTTTGAGTAGTCTTGGGAATCTGGAGAGATCCCAGCTGACTGGAAGTTGGCAAACGTTGTCCCAAATTTCAAGGGCAAGAAGGAGGACCCTGGAAACTACAGGCCTGTCAGTCTCACTTCAGTGCCCAGTAAAATCATGGAGAAGATTATTCTGGGAGGTATTGAAAAACACCTGGAGGACAATGCAGTCATTGTCAAAGACAGCACAGCTGCATGAGGGGAAAAATCCTGTTTTTTGAACCTGATTTCCTTCTATGACAAGGTAACTCACCTAGTTGATTTAAGTAAGTCAGTAGATGCAATCTTTTTGGACTTCAGCAAAACTTTTGATATTGTCTCTCACAGTATCCTTCTGGACAAAATGTCCAGCACGCAGTTGGATGACCGTGTTAAATGATGGGTAAGCAAATGGATCACAGGTCAGGCACAAAGGGTAATTAATAGTGAATGGGGTAACATCAGGCTGGCATCCAGTCACTAGTAGGAATACTAAGTAAGTTTGCTGATGACACTAATTTGGGAGGAGCTCTCAACTCCCTTGAGAGCAGGGAGGCCCTGCAGAGAGACCTTGACAAATTAGAGAGATGGGCAATCACCAACCCTATGAAGTTCAACAAGGGCAAGTGCCGAATTCTGCACCTGGGACAGAGCAACCCTTGTTGTGTGTATAGACTAGGGAAAGAGAGGCTGGAGAGCAGCTCTGCAGAAAGGGACCTGGGGGTCTTGCTCAATGGCAAGTTGAATATGAGTCAGCAGTGTGCCCTGGCAACCAGGAGGGCCAACTGTGTCCTGGGGTGCATCAAGCACAGCATTGCCAACCTGTTAAAGGAGGTGATTGTCCCGCTCTACTCTGTGCTGGTGCAGGCTCACCTTGAGTACTGTGGGTAGTTTTGTCACCACAATATAAAAAAGATATTACACCATTAGAGTGTCCAAAGCAGTGCAATGAAGATTGTGAAGGGTCTGAAGGGGAAGCCATACGAGAAGCAGTTGATGTCACTTGGTCTGTTCAGTCTGGAGAATGTGTTTTAGTACTTCTTTCTCCTAGGTGATGGAAGGATGTCATGGGTTTTTTTTCCCAATGTCGTGCCCCCACTTCCCTCCATCTGTTTCTTCCAGGATGGGAGTGGGGGCAGAGCAGAGCCACACATCTGGGGTAGCGCAGGACCAGGGAGGGGGACGTCTCGAGGGAAAACACAGTGGTGGCGGAGATAGCTGGGAAGTCCTTTGTTCGGGGGCTTTTGGGGTTTTGTCTGGGACCAGACAGAGCAGGAACCCAGTTTTTGGCTGTCTTGCTCTTTTTTTCCCTGAGAGGAAGCTTTTTTTCCCCACGGGACACCTCGTGGAGAATGACTGAGAGAGACCGACCCATCTCAGAGTGAGGTATTCTGCTTTCAAGACTGCCTGTGGGAAAAGGACTTGTTGTTTTTTCTCATTGCTGGCTGCAAACACACGTGGCTGCGAGCAGCTTCCTGAATTGCCGGGACAGTCCTGCCTTTTCCCCCACCCCTCCCCAGGTTGTTGTGGGTTTCTCTCCCCCACACACCTGGGGATTTGGGACTTTGTTTTGTTTCTTCTGAAAGTTTTTGATTGCACCATTTGTTATTTATTTATATTTTTGTAAATAAAACGTTGTTTCTTTTCCTTTTCCACACTTCCACCTGAAGTCTCTTAATTTTTAAGTTGTAATCTTGTTAAACTAAGACAAAGGAAGACTCCTATATTTCTCCAGTAACATTGTATGCATGCATTAAGATTATTCCCAGAATCCTGCTGTCTTTTCTATTCAATCTCTGGCAGTCACTGAGAAAAGAAAGGAGATTAGGTAGCATACTGCAGTACTAGTTTATTCTCTGATAATGTTTTCACAGATACAAGATTTGGAAAAAAGTACAATAATTTTTGCTCATCTGAAACAAGAGGAGACTCTGGAAAAGAGTCGTTTTCAAGTCTGTAAGTTCCATGAGCCTTGTATATATTATTTCTGAATCAAGTCTCCCATCAGTGTTATTCAATGATCATTACATCTTAATGACTGTTGTAAAATAAACTAGTCATACATTAAAGTGATAATCATTTTGATGCAAATACAGGTTTTAAGTAAGGCCTGTAAGCACAGGTCTTGTTTGTAAACAGGGACAGACTCATGGGTCAATTGGTGATAAGTGACTTTCTTGGTCACAGTAACCATGAAGTAGTTGAATTTAAAATTGATGGCAACAGGAGAAAAAGTGCCAGCAAAACTTTGACCCTGGATTTGGGAAGAGTAGACTTTGGGTTGCTGAAGGAGCTAGTTAGTAAGATCTCCTGGGAATCTGCTTTTGAAGGTACTGGAGTCCATGAGTACTGGTCACTTTTTCACAGTCATCTCTTAAAAGTGCAGGAGCAGGCAATTCCAAAGTGCTGGAAGTCAATCAAGTGGGGCAGAAGGCTGGCATGGATGAGCAGGTATCTCCTTTTAGAATTACGCAGAAAAGTATATGGACATTGGAAGCAAGGACACGTGACAGAGGAGGACTACAGAGATGCTGTTCACCACTGTAGAGATGAAATTCATGTGGCCAAAGCTCAATTAGAGTTTGAGCTGGCCAGCATTGTGAAGGACAACAAAAAGGGCTTTTTAAAAATATGTTAAGAGCAAAATAAAAACCAGAAATAGCATTGGTCCATTACTTGATGAGGTTGGTCACCTCAAAAATAGGGATGTAGACAAAGTGAAGACTACTGCCTTCTTCACCTCTGTCTTTAGTACCGATGATGGGCCCTGGGACCCCCAGAGCCCTGTGTTGGGAGACTATGACTGAGGGGATGATAAACTCCAAACCAACCCTGAACTTGTTTGAGACTTGTTGCTCCAGCTGGGTGTATATAAATCTATAGGGCCTGATGGGATTCATCCCAGGATACTGGAAGAGCTGGTCGATGCCATTGTGAGACCTCTCTTGATTACTGGGAATCTGGGAAGGCCCCAGTTTACTGGAAGCTGGCAAATGTTGCCCCAATTTTCAAGAAATGTGTATTGGGTTTGTGTGGCCAGGTTTTGGTAGTGAGGGAGATACAGGGGTGGCTTCTGTGAGAAGTTGCTAGAAGCTTCCCCCATGTCCTGCTGAGCCAATGCCAGACAGCTCTAGGATGGACCCACTGCTGACCAAGGCTGAGACAATCAGGAATGATAGCAATACCTCTGTGATAACATATTTTAAGAAGGAAAAAAGTTATTGCAGAGATGAAATTGCAGCCAGAGAAGAGCGGAGGGAGAACATGTGAAAAATTCTGAAGACACCAAGGTCAGTGGAGAAGGAGGTACTCCAGGTGCCAGAGCTGAGGTTCCCCTGCAGCCTGTGGTGAAGACCATAGTGAAGTAGCTGTCCCCCTGCAGCCTATGGAGGTCCACAGGGATGCAGAGATCCATCTGCAGTCCATAGAGGAGGCCCACGCCAGAGCAGGTGGATGCCTGAAAGGAGGCCGTGACCCCCGTGGGAGGCCCTTTCTGGAACAGGGTCCTTGCAGGGATCTGCTGACCTGTGGAGAGAGGAGCAGGTTTTCCTAAGACTTGTGGCCCTGTGAGGGACCCACGCTGGAGCAGCCTGTGTCTGAAGGACTGCACCCTGTGGAAAAGTGGTCCACATTGCAGCAGTTCATGAAGAACTGTCTTCTATGGGAGAGACGCCACGCTGGAGCAGGGGAAAGACTCCTCTCTCTGAGCAGTAGCAGGAACAACCTGTGATGAACTGACCATAACCCCCCTTCTCTGTCTCCCTGTGCCACTGAGGGGGAGGAGGTAAAATTTTTACTTCTCATTATCCTGCTCTGACTCTGTTACTAATAAATTTAATTAATATCCCCACTTCAAGTCTTTTTTGCCCATGATGGTAATCAGTGAGTGATCTCTCCCAGTCTTTATCTCAACTCATGAACCCTTTGTTATATTTTCTCTCCTCTCTCTAGTTGCAGGGGGGTGTGATACAGTAGCTTGGTGGGCACCTGGTATGCAGTCAGGGTCAACCAACTACAGTCTTTTTGGTGCCCGAACGTGGGGTGAGACAAAGGCAGTTATATATATATATATATTGCATGCTATAGTAATAGTAGCTATCAAGTAGCAAGCTCCTGTGTGGGACACAGAGTTTCTCAGATGCACTGCTTATCTCTTTATTTGTGTAGTGGTCAGGATTCGGCTCTTTTACTGCCACGCCCCAGGTTTGATTCCCAGTCAGGGAACCATATTGCAATAGCTCTGGCTGAGATGGAGTTCATTTTCCCATAGCAGTCCTCACAGTGCTGTGTGGGGGAACCCAGTTGGTTCTGGGCTCTCTGTAAGTTGAGATATCGAAGA